AAAAAGCACACACATGAGGATATTTAGAACAAATATGGGGTCTGCAAAAGGGTATTAGCAGACATTCACGGATGGAATTTTCATAGTAGATGAAATCACCAGGAGAGGTTAGATACTCTTCCCCTGTACTGCTTAAAAGACTACAGTCACACAGCTATTTAGGGACCTTTTACCCCAAAGAACTTCAAGAAGTGAACCTAAATGAGGACAGAGTTTACAGACTGCTGGGTTATGTGACTGATGGCTCATCCCCATGAACACAAAGGAGCAGAAGCACCATGACAGGCAGAGGAACTCCAGTAACTGCACTAGAGCTGGCTGAGCCCCTGATGAGCTTGCCCCAAGGGCTGCCACAGGTGAGACACCAGCCCCATGGGCTGAGGGGACACCCCCAGCTGAGTCAATGGAAGATACTCCCCATCAGCTCCCCATCAATCCCATTTACAGACTCAGGGGGAATTACTGCCCACAGGGAGCATGGAACTCACTATGGGAAGTTGGAAAGAACATTTTGGGGTTGTGCAAGACTTACTATGGGATGTTTAGGGGAAGGGCCAAAGACAGGGGAAGGGAAAGATCAAATTGGACCAGGGAGGAACCAGTATGGAAGAATACAGAAGAAAAGGGATAAAAGGAGCTGGACATATGTAAAGAGGTTACTGGCCAGTATGCTAGCAAGGGTTGGGGCCTTTGCCAGCCAGGGTTCCATCCCTGGGGGAGATGGTTTTGGTGTGCTCCAGGACACCAATAGCCAAGCTGTGCAAAGGCCTGTTGACCATCAAGAAATGCAAAAGCGTCCAGAAGTAACTGAAGCAAGAATCGGAAAACAACAACAAATCAGAAAACAAATGGTGTAATCATCAATGAGGTATTTTCTAATCAATCCTGTAACTAAGGACACGGAAAGGTACTGGGGTAACTGGAGGTGGCTGAAAAAAAGACTCTGGGAAGGGAGGACCTATGACCCTCCTCCAGGACGCAGGACCATCTCTGCAGCCTCTGGGGAATCCAGGGAGTGGGAAAGAGCCCAGGGAAACCCGTGACCCACCCATGACCCTCTGCTAGGATGACACAGCATGGCAGAAACCACCACATTGACCCACCCAGCCTCCCTCCAGGATTGCACCATCTCCCAGGCAGAACGAGGAGCTTGGGAAAGAAACCACAACGCCAGCCCGCCCAACTTCTCTCCCTCTCTGCACCATCTCTCCCATGGCACAAGGAAGCAATGCAATTTGTAAAACTGCACACATCTTTGTATTGAGCATAACTGGCAGGGGCAGGGTTTTTTCAAGGGGGAGGGCTGCAGGGGTGACCTCTGCGGGAAGGTGACAGCTGCAGCGGATGCAGCCACTTCCAGCCGGCTCCAGCAGACCAAAAGGACCGAGTGCACCAAAGGGACTGAGTGCCATGTGCGGTGAGGGGGTGGGAGAACAAAAAGAGGGGGAGAGGCGTGCAGAGGGAAGAAGGGATGTTTTTTTCTGAGGGTTTGTTTGCCCTCCATTACAGAACCATCTCTGAATTCTCTCCCATAAAGGGACAGTTTCACTTCCGCTACCCCTCCTGAGTCGTTCTGTGTTACTGTCAGGGATATTACTGTCCTTCCAAATGAGACCATTCTGGTTCGGAAAGAAATACAGTCACAAGCCTTCCACCAGTCAAGTCATACTCCTGAACCCAGCTAAAATATACTTTGAACTGAAACAGAACTCGGCAGATCTTCTGGCCCCAGAACTGAAAATGAAAACTATTATCAACAGGTCAAACCCTCACCCTAGCACCTGTCTGAGATATCTCAAAGACCATTCGAGCATCTTTGCTCTCAGCTCTTCAGTTCTTATGCCCCAGAATGGTTTTGTAGCAATCAGTCAAAGGTGTTTAGGGATTCTCAGTGTTCCAATCCTGGAATGCCGCTACTTACACGCTATGACTGGTTCAAGCCAATATGTTGATGCTAACAGGTATTGTGCTCTCTTTTTATCTGCTGAAGTATATGGTGCTGCAAAAAAGGAAGCTCCTTAAACCTGCCTGGTGTGCCACAGCAGACAAAGCTGACAAGCAGCACTACCCACTGGAAGGCAGTGAGAGGTTGGGGAAATTTGGCCAGTGGAGCAGCTGAGCTGAGACTGATAATGCTTCTGCCTGAATATGACCCCTAGCTAGAAAGATCCTGGGTCACCCAAGACTGAAACAAAATCATACATTGGACATAACTGACAGTTTTGGTAGTGGGGGGCTACAGGCGTGACCTGTGTAGGAGGTTCGGCAACAGACAACGCTGATGTGGCAAAACTTGAACCAGAGAAGCATATAGCACCTCTGTGAAAATATACTTAATAATGAAGAGCAGCTGCTGGGAAGAGATGAGTGAGGATACTCATGATGACATGCAGAAGATGGCACAGGAGCAGACACATACCGAGGGGACTGCAGCCCATGAAGGAATCCCTGCAGAGGCAGGCACTACCCTGAAGGGGATTGCGGTCTGGGGGGAACCCCCACTGGGGCAGTTGAGAAGCGTAAGAAACGTGGAATGGCGGGAAAGGAAACCACTACATGTTGATGCCAATCTCCTGTGCTGCCCGGTGCCTCGCTGAGGGGACCAAATGTAACATTTGGCAAAAGCAAGGGGCACAAAAGCGTATGTCTTTGTGCATGAGTCAAGGGGAGAGCACGGGATCCAGGGACAGTTACTGGGGAGATCCGTAGTGCATATGTGTAGATGACGTTGGTCTGTATGGGGGCATGAAAAGTAAACTGGAAGGGTCAAGGGTCAATTACTGGGCAGACTGAGCATCACAGGCCAACTACTGGAGGATCCATATTGTATGTATATACGCATTTCACACTAACAAACCTTTAACTGCCAAAGAGGGGGATGGGATTAGGCTGTTTGTGCCACCTGTGTTTGTATGGTCAGCTGTATATATGTGTGTATGTATATATATACACACACATACATACAGTGTACAGCATCTGTGTGCCTATGGGGAATATGTGCAATAGGCCATCTCACTATTGACTGCATGTGGCAACATGGAGCTGTGGTAGCCTTGCCTCTGTTGGGCCACCAGATTCGGCAAACCTCAAGCCAATGAGTTTCACAATACAGAAAGCAGCTCTGGCATTCGCAGATGAGTGACTCTGCACAAGGTACACCATTCTCACCACACCGTTCCCAAACCCTCCAAGGCCCAAGCCCAACAGAGGTCTTCAAGCTTTCTCAGGTGATGTGCTGCCCAGTGAGACAGGGAAGACATGACTGTTCCTTCCTGGGCTTTGGTGCACCAGTTACAGAAGGCAGATGAGCATCTCATTGCATGGCAGGCAGCAGGAGCTCAGGTCCTCTGTGACAACCGGCCAAACCTATCAACTGCTTACAATAATTAGAGGTCATCAAAGAGCACTTCTCCCTGAAACACAGGGAATCAAAAGGTCAAATGGGCAAGAAAATGGCAACCAGTTCTGGGCAATGGGCCAACTGCACTACCAGTGGGCCTATGCGGTGAACAACTTGGATTATAATGCATTGCCAGTACAGGAGAAGGCTGGACAAGCCCTTGGCTGAGGCAGGGATGCTGTGCTGGTACAGAACAGGCTGCTCCTGTAACTCGCTTGAGCTACACCTCTATGAGGACAGGAGAGATACAGAGGACTGTTTATCTTAATGATTTACTGCCACAAGGTGGGCAGATGATTCCAGGGTGTATTTCTCTGCAGTGCTTCTGTTTGTTATTGCAAATTTTTCTTAAGTTCACAAGAGCAGCCTCAGGCCACCGCTGGGTGACTCAATCTGGTTTCTGGCCTGCCTGGCTGTTGATGGGGTCTTGCTCTAGCAAAGCCTGAGGAAGAACTAGAGTGGAAGGAAAGCACATTTTAATTTCCCAACCCCAGAGAGGCTGCAGCAGACAACAGCAGTGCTATTGTGTTCTCTGTAAAACCTGTTCCCCTGCCAAGTCTAGAAGGGGGCGAGGAGCTTGCCCCCTGTGGGGAAACAGCACAGACCCCAATTGGTAAACTAGAATTGACTAAGAAGATCTCAGAGTTCTCTTCTCAGCCATACGAAAAGTACAGTGCGAGTCTGAAGAGATGTATGCAGGGAGGCAGAGAAAGGGATAAAACAAGCAGAATTGGAAGGAAGCCATACATTCTAGAGTGCTAATGCTAGAAGTGGATGTGCCCGAGCCTCTATTCAGATGAGTATTTGTCTGTATGGCATGTGCAACAGCCATTTAATCCACCAACAAAAGGTCACTGGGAATGCAATGCAGAATAGTGCTGAAACTTCAACTCAAAATTTATTTATAGCGTGGAAGTTCAGGGACAGAATTTATAATTTTAGCTAACTTGAGAAATTACAGAAAGATCTCTGGAGCATGTCCAACATCCTCACAGTTCTTAAAATATACCAACTCCATAAACCAAAGGTGTAACATCGCTATATCTGTAATGTTTCCATGTGTGTGTATTACTGATTTGGCAGAATTCACATTTTAACATTCAGGAGTATGACGATGAAAGTTAAAAGATTTTCCTGGATAAGCAAACAATTTCCTTCCTCAAGACATATGCTGTGGTCTGGCATGCTGAACAAGTGTGATATATACTGATGAAACTGCTCTTTACTCTTTAAAAATCAAGCATCACCAATGAAATAGTTATTACTCAGAATATCAGAGAGAGCTTTTTAACAGAACAGCATTTGCCTTTTTTTCTCCCCCCCCTCTCGTCCCCCCGTGATTTTTATGGGAACTTTTGGGCTTTTATCGTCTCAGTTATCACTTAAGTTGCCATGCATATCATGTTTCTTGCTTGGAAGGAAATGTGTTTTCTTTGAAACTGTTAAAGACCTTTGCAATTTCCTAGTTTGGTCGGTGCTTATTTCACTGCTGCCTCAAAGCTGTCTTATTGCCAAAGAACTCAAAACACAAGCAGTTAAAATACCCAACTAACAATGGTTTTCCTTTCTCCTTTTGACTCTCCGAGTGGCCCTTCTCTACGTGGACCTTAGTCCAATAGGGCTGCTACTGTAGCCAAAGCAGAGAAACGTGGCACTGTCTAGAAATTTAAACACCTTATAAAACTGCAAGATCCCAAATTCACTGTGAGGTGGGAAGATGAAGCTCACTTTGGTTTCAGCATTTTTTATTTGAAAGCTCTTAAACCTGATCACTTCCACCTTGGTGACTAACGCCATCGATGACTGAGGTCATCAGTGCTTATAATACATTATCAGTTTCACAATATTGTATACTGGTATCTGATTGTGGATACACTGCTGAAGATAGTTTTGACTATTTAGTGATAATAATAAGAACTAACCATTAGTGTAGAATGTATTAATAAATATTAACTGCATAAAGTTTTGAAGTTTAAAACATACCTATCAGTTTTCTAAACACTCTCAGTGAACCCTAGCACACACAAGTATGCATATAAATATACACATACACATTCAGCTGCAAAGCAAGCTGACAATGCTTTTTTATGTTATTAGTATTTCAATCACCATAGGCACAACTTCCCCAAACAGCCCACCAACCCTTGTGCACATACGAGCACCCAAACGGCACATTGGCGAAGAAAGCGTTCTCCGTCACACCTAGAGGCGCACTGGCACAGCAAGCCACTTCGAATCAAACCGGCTTGCACGTATTCCCTGCACAGGAGTCTGCCTTTGCTCCTGAAGTTACTTCTATCTCCTCGCTAGGCAGCGCAGGCCCCTCTGCATCCGCAAGAAGCCACTCTCCCACTCCTTCAGCCCAGGGCTGGGGCGCAGGCACTGCACCCACACCCCGCCGG